AGTATTTGACGTGGTTTGAAATGGACGTCGCAGGATTGTATTGGAGCTATCGACAGGACCCATGTGCGGGCGGTGTTGCCGCAACGTAAAAGAATTAACTTCATAGGTCAAAAAGGGGTGCCCACTCAGAACGTCTTGGCCGCTTGCGATTTCAATTTGTGCTTCACGTTTGTGTTGCCGGGAAGTATGGGCACCACGCACGACAGCCGCATACTAGCCCGCGCGGTGCATAGTCCGAACGTATACTTTTCGGAACCGGCTGACGGGAAATATTACTTGGTGGACTCGGGATTTGCATATCAGTCGGGGTACATGGCACCGTACAAAGGGTCGAATGTATGTTATCACTTCCAAGAATTTCACGATCATTGTGGCGACAAACGTCGATTTCGTAATGCACGCGAGAGGTTCAACTTTCATCACTTATCATGTCGAAACATTATTAAGCGTGCATTTGGAGTCTGGAAGCAAAGATGGAAAATTCTAGACAGGATGCCTAGTTATTCATATCAAGCCCAAATCGTTGTGGTCATGGCAGCAATGGGATTCCATAATTCTCTGCGACGCAACGGACAGCTCGATGAAGGATTCTGCATGGCCAATAAAGTTGACGATGAAGAAGTCGAGGTTGAGTTACCCGATGAGGAAGACGAAGCTGCAGCGGAAGAGGATGCCGTTGTGGACGAGAATGTGTCGTGGACCCAGTTACGAGATTACATAGCGCACACCATACGTTGACTAGGTTAACGCTACCTTATTGTTGGAAGTCGGTATGAAAGCGTAAATTACCGCTGGAATGAATGTTGTAATGTGTGAATTTGTTTCGATGCAATGAACGCAAAAATATTATTTTCGTCAAACGCACGCTCGGAAATGAATTCTATACTAATGTAGATTAACGTAACAATTTTTTGTCTTATTCTCATGTGTGGAACAGTATGTTCGTGTACTGCATATAGACGTGTTTAACAGTTATATGCAGTACACGGACATACTGTTGATAATTATAGA